TATCCAACTTTGATACAGTTAGAGGGGCTGGGGTGTAAGTGCCACAAGAGGCTGGAAACCTGGCCAAGGAACTAAAACACAACCCACGTGAAGCCAGGATCCAGGAGGGGCTGCTGGTCTTAAGCAAGGACCCAGGGAAACCTTTCCCACAGCCCAAAGGAAAGCTTACATGTGGTGCAGAGTGAAGGCATTTTCACTGAGCAAGGGAGATCCCGAGCCCATGCTATGCGTGGGGGTGCAGTGTGAACGCACACCACCTAGGTGCTGGACTAGGAGTCAGGACGTTAACATCCACACTGGCAGGATCCATGACACTCCTGGGGTCCTGGCAGGAGAAAAGCAAAAGCAATGAAAGAACACACCCATACGCGGGGTGTGTGGAACTCCTACAGCCAAAATGATCTCTGCTCAACTCAATCTTAAAATAAAAAAGAAACCACAGGAGCAAATGAGACATGCAAAGGTGGGTCAACACACACAACCAAAGAAGTGGTGCCCTTAGAACTAGAGCTAGAGATAAGGACCAATCTGGAAGAGGCTAGCAAGAAGTGCAGTCAAAATAACTCGAGAGATAAAAGAATGAACAGAAGTCATAATGAAAGCCCAGGAGACACACACACACACACACACACACACAAATAAAAAATAAATAGGCTGAATTTTTAAAGTGCCAAATAGAACTTCTGAAAATTAAAAATAAGAACTAAACACTCTTATTGGGAAGGAGTATTAAAACAATAGATGCCAAACAGCTACAAGGAGAGTAAACCGACAGGCATTTGTGAGGAAGCTTCCTCACCTGCAGGACTGGCAGGTGAGAAGATAGAAAAAGAGGGGGCAGAGGAAGTGAGATGGTAGTTTTCTAATGGAAGTTCCAGAAGGAGCAATCAGAAAGAACCAAAGAGAACCAAAAGACAATAAATAAGAATTTCTAATGGAGAACTACACTAAACAATATAAATAAACACTCTAAAATAAAACTAGTCCTCTCGGATACAATGAGGTAAAATCTGCAGAACACCAAAGACGAAGCTCAGGTCTCAAAAGCAACCAGAATGAGCTCACTCAGGCAGCAGAGAGGACAGACTGGCGGTCAGAACAGACCGAAAAGCAGCTCCACAGTCCTAGTAATGCCAATGGCAGGGGGATGGACAGAAGGGAGCGCTCTGGACCAAATTACCAGCTACTCCAAATCCGAAGTGGTCCCTTTCCCCAACTTTGTCCCCATGGCACATGAACCTCACCATTGCAGAAGCACACCTCATCCCCAGAGGGGATGTGTAAAAGCTCCTCTCGGCCATGGACTGGGTCTAAGCTATCTCTGGCTCTCCTGCATCTAGCACAACACACTGTACACAGCAGGGGCTCAACATGTGTGTCTGAGCTCCCACAAGTCACATACACGCTCTTTCAGGCCTTGTTCTCTGTTCCCTGCCCTATGAAGAGATTACACAATTTTTCTCAAATTGAGAAAAATGACCTTCAATCAGGGCTTGATCAACTGGCTTTAACATTAAAGGCAGATATAGTTTTCTAGAACAGTGAAAAAGAAGGTGGTTCTTGGGTGGGAACTGGTGGCATCTGTGAGGGCTGTGGAGTGAAGCCTCAGACCTCTTAGACACAGATGTGAATAGCTGTTGGGAGGCTGACAGAATATTGTGGATGGAGAACTTTACTGGCTAACCTAAGGCACAATAGGGCAGCTTTATCTTTCTTCTAATGACCTCAGAGCTTCTTTAATTTTTAAAATTTGCAGTGCTGGGAATAGAACCCAGGGCCTCCCACATGCTAGGCAAGTGCTCTACTGCTGATCTATATCCCTAGCCCTTCTTCTATTTTATTTTGAGTCAAAGTCTTGCTAAGTTGCCCAGGATGACTTGGAACTTACAATCCTCCTGCTTCAGCCTCCAGAGTAGCTAGGATTATAGGTATGCCCCAACCACCTCAGGGCTTTAAGAATGTTTACCTGAGAACTGTGCCTCTAGCACCAGAGGAGACAGTGTCCAAGTCTCACCAGAGATGAAGTCCAGGGCTCATCCTCCCTGGAGCCTGGAGACAGAATTAAGCCCTTTTACGCAAACAGAAACGGGATGACATAGGGCCAAGGACAAGGCTACCAGGATGTTCCAGGGAAGGAAGTTGGTAAGAGAATCTAGGGAACTTAGCTGACTCTCTATCTACAGATCCTGCATCCATGGATCAAAAATACTTGGAAAAAATTGATCTGGACTAAATATGTACAAAATTTTTTCCTGTCATTATTCCACAAACAATACAGCATAACATCTATTTGTACAGCATTTACATTGTATTGGGCACTGAAAGAAACCTAGAGATGATTTAAACTCTACAGGAGGATATGCAAATATCACACTGTTTAAGGGCCTTGAGCATCCACAGGTTATGGGGGGTATGTGCCAATCTGTTGCAGATACCAAGGGACAAAAGCACAGAGATCATTTTTTAGGGCCACTGCATTTACAAGGAAAGGCCACTTGGGAGAACTGTCCACCAGCCTCACTACTTATTCAGAACAACACTTTTGCTGACAGACTGAATATGGCAGAGATGAATACTAAATGATTACAAATTATATTTCAGGAATTATCCAAAAGAGAAAGTAGTAGTTTCAATAAGGAGTCAAACCAAACTAACATCCAAGCTAGTTTTTTTAATTTGTAGACTATCCTGACCCTGGCGTTATTCCTTCACATTACTTGGCCTGAGGGTTTTCTACTTAAAAGTGAACAGAGCAGAGACAGGATGGAGCTCATGGGCTCTCCTGGGCTTCACGCCACAACGTACATGTAGGAGAGGAGTCTGCTTTGAACAGAGAGCATGGCATGCAACGGGGGCTGTCAGAGGCATGTGAACCGCCTCTTCCCCAAGCAGCACAGTTAGCTGCAGCAGTGATTTGTGGATGCAGCGTTGGTGGCACCACAAAAACAGAAGGCAGATGAGCATAGGAGAGCCAAGTGTTCTGTTGGGAAGGAGGGTAACCAGCACTACTGCGTGCATCCTATATGCAAGGCTGGTGATGATGTGCTTGAGCTGACATTCCTGCCACAGGGAATCTCATTAGTTTGAACAGATGAAGAAGTTGAGGCTCAGGGAGATTAGGAAAGTTGTCTAAGGAATGAGAATGAACCTCAAGACAGACTTAAAGACAAACGAGAGTGCAAAAGAGGCATTTGATTGCCACTTTTCTAGATCATGGCTCCTATGCAATTTCCTGCATGAATACTTTCTTTTATAGGTCTTTGGTGGCCAAGGCTCATCTATATTTACAACCCCTGGATTCTCTTCTTGCTATGATAGTATGCTGGGAACTTAGGATAGTTCAAAAGAGCTAGATTATCTTCTCTCATATTCAAAGATGATCTAAACTGCCGACACCGGACTCTGCTAAGACATGACCCTGAAGGTAAGGAGGGCCAGCACCCTTCTCTCTCTGGACAAAAATTCTGCAATCTTTCTCCAAAGAGCAGAGTCAGGCCAGAATCAGGGTCCATAACACCCATGTATCAAAAGCTCTATCTGCCACCACAATCTGCATGCCTGAGGCTGCCACTCACTGACAACCAGCAAGCAGCTATGCAGGGAGAACAGCATGGTGGGGGACAGGAGGGTGGCAGAGTGGCATGTGTCTCTTGCTACCCAGTGAGTTTGCCTGGCTACCTGGGGTCTCACCCAATTGTCCCATTCAGCCTCTGGACCACAGAGAAATCCTGCCCCGCTTCTCTGCTGCATTAAGCTTTATGAGAAGTTGTGATGGAGGCTCTAACACAGGTCTAAAAACTTTCTTCCAAAAGCTGTGCCACCCCAGAGGAGGCGTGTGGTGTTAAAGGATGCCCAATCAGCCTTTCCTATGACTCATGTGGTGGGAACAGCTGACCACAGCATCTACCCAAAAATAAACTGCAAAGCGTCATAATGCCTCGAAGGAAATGTGAATGGAGATATGCCCATGAGGATAGCCAGTAAGCTATCTTATAGCCATAACAGAACGAGAGTTCTTGAGGAAGACTGGACTTCTCTTCCGGGAAGTACTGTACAGCTCTGCTGGCAGGTGCCCCCTGCTTCCTTCCACTGGGAAAATTAAACAGTTTGGATTTTTAAATAATGAGACTGGAACATACTGTCCTCAGGTCCAGGCTGGGACTGCTCTTGTTCCTGACCTGGGATTTCTGAGAGTGGTAACTTGGGACAATGATCTTCCTTCCGTTCTCTTCCCCGTGTGAATGTGCTAATGTTGACTTTGCCTCTCAGAGCTGTTCCAGTTGCCTGCAGCAGGTAACTTGGGGCCCCTAGGCCTCAGCTTCTGAGGATACAACAGTAAATCAAGAATGCTCCACAGGGTGTCACAGGGATTAAATGGGATTATAGATGTAGACTCCCCAGGACTGTACCCAACACAGTAGGTGCTGAGCAGTACCTGCCACCTCACCACCAGGGCACATTCCTCGTGCTTCACTCACCATCAATGTCACTGTCTCATAAACAACACACAGGGAGGCAGATAGTCCGTGACAAAGAGAGAAGACGCTCTAAAATCATGCCAGTGCCACTATTCTAACTTCCAATCTCTGTAAGCACCCAGAAATCAATCTCCACACTACAAAACCCACAACAGAGACAACCACAACAGAACCCGTTAGGTACATTCACAGGGGCCCAGAACCACAGCCAAGGTCAGAATCACAGTGGATGAGCAAGCACATGGATCAGGGACCCGGCAGGAGGCAGGCTCTGGAGAACAGCTGAGCCTGGAGGGCAAGGTTTGTTGTCAAATGTGCTTCTAACACAGCACAACTTCTATGTGCATTCAAATCCTGTGTTTAGGAGCAAAAGAGATTTTACAGGAGAAATATTTTTGTCCCAGTCATTTTCCGGAAGTGAAAAGTGAGAGTCCCTTCCCAAGCACACCCATAAGGGAAGCCATGGCCAAAAAGCCTGTGTATGTGGCAGGGCCAGGTGGCGCTTCTGAGTGGGTGGCTTACTTGTTGCTGTCCCGGTACTCGTAGATGTGACATCCTTGAGGCAATCCAGTCTCAGAGTCCAGGGTAAAAGCAAGCTTGAGCTGCACAAAGAGAAAGGAGAAAGCAGGTGAGCTTCAGGCAGCGCTCCAGCAGCAGGAGGGGTAAAAATGATCAAGCAACATTGGCTCCCATGGCTATGGAGAACCTGGCCCTCCCGCTCTGGGAAGAACCCACACCTCACAGGAACCCTGTTGTCCACGTCCGTGCTTTTTCATTCAGCACACAGCCAGTATTTGGGAAGTGTCCCCTTCATGCCAGACACTGAGCTGGCTGAGAAGAAGTAACAGTACACTGCTGGGGCCACCTTCATAGAGTCTGGGTCTAACAGAGGAGCCTGGCAGCAACCAAACCACCAAACTGAGGACCAGGCACATCTATGCAGAACTTGGAATTAAAGAGTCTTTTCTGAAGCAAGAAAACCACCCCACGTTTCTGTGAAAGCAGATAGAATGGGATGCGGAAAGGAGGGGGTCACCTGGAACCTTGGGGGGGGGCCTAGCAGAGAGCGTGGCATGTGCATAGGTCCTGGGGATCACCTGAAGCATGGCTGGTGAAGCTGAATCCTGACAGATAGAGGGACACAGTGGCTGGTGACAATGGGGAGGAAGGCCAGGAAGAAGATGGATTTTCTCGGCCACACTGGAATTTTGGGCCTTTATCTTAATAGCAAAGGGAAGCTTCTGGTTTAGGGAAGAGCTGGATAGTGTGATCAGAGCTGTTTGGGAAGGCTGGCCTGGCAGCTGTGTAGACATAGCAACTTGCGGTGAAAGAGCGGGAGGAGCAAGAGCCTGCGGGAAGCAGAGGCAGAGAGTGGCGAGGGGCGGGGCTCGAGGAGATGGAGAGAAGGGGACAATTGGAGATTCATAGTAGAAGTGCATTTTTAGAAGTAGAATCAGCAGGATATGCTGACGGATTTGATGTTGAAAGTGGTGAAGACAGAAAGAACCAAGTTAAGAATGGTTCAAAGCATGTGTGTGCGCACCTGTGTGTGCGTACGTATACGTGGTACTGGGAACTGAATCCAGGGCTTCACACATCCTAGGCAACTACTCTGCTCCTGAGCTACACCCCCAGCTCTGTTTATTTTGAGACAGGGTCTCACTCAGTTGCCCAGGCTGGCCCTGAACTTGCGATCCTCCTCCCTCAGCCTCCCATGTAGCTAGGATTACTAGCATATGCCACTGAGTGTGGTTAGGGATAGTTTAAGTTTTTGATCTGAACTAGCAGGCAGATGGTTGTTCCATTGTTAACTTTGGGGATGGATGGGGAGTCAAAAGTTTGATTTTTGACATGCTATCTTGGAGACACCCATTAGCTTCCTTTTGTTAGGGAAGATCAGGAGTAGGAATGCTGGCAAAGTTTTGGTTTCTTTCTTGACTCTGGTGGGGAAGGCTCAGGGTCCTATTAGAGCCAAGGGGTCACCGCAGCCTAACATTTCCAAATGCAAAGCCAATTATCATACTTACAATTTACTGGGCTTTTAAATCACTAGGGAAATTTTAACTAAAATTAACTGCACATTAGGAGGACACATTATTATGATCTTTTTTAACTGTAGGGCTGTTAACACAGCTAATGATCTGCATCATTAGATGCTGGACAAATTCTCTCTTCCTCAGAGGGAAACAAGCTCTCAGGAATAGTTTGTCCTATTATTGACCCAGATGAAAATTAAAAAAACAGAAATAAGCCCTTTTTTACCATCATAAAACTGGAACTTGGAGTCAATGGCGTGCTTTCTCTAGAGCCCTGCTTGGTTCTCTCTAGCATAGCTATTTTAAAAAATTTATTAATTAACAATTATAACCCTTTTCTCCTCATTTCTCTCTTTGCAGCTGAGCTCAGGCCCATATTAGTTTTGTCCATTTCAAAAGTCTACATTGCTTAGAAATTCTGACATCCTTTGGCTCAATGTTTAAGTAATGGATTTTTGGCTCAGAAAAATGATCAGAAATGTAAGAAGAGGCCATGTATGGTGGTGCTTGCCTGTAATCCCAGCTACTTAGGAGGCTGAGGCAGGAGGATGGCAAGTTTGAGGTCAGTCTGGGTAACTCAGCAAGACTCTGTCTCAAAATAAAGAATAAAGGACTGGGATGTAGCTCAATGTTTGAGCACCTGCCTAACATATATGAGGCCTTGGGTTTAATCCCCATGACTGCAGAAAAAAAAATGCAGAAAGAAAAGTTTTAACCGCAAAACTGCCTCCATGTTACTTGCTGGAAAGGCTCTGAAATGGCAGAAGGTTAAAAACCCACACTACAGACAGTCACACGTGGAATAGCATACAGCTAATAACCTGCTTATGCAGAACTTCTTATAAACGTGGGAAAATATTTGGAATATTTGGATAAAGCAGAATGCATATTTGACTATATACGGTTAAAACTGTGTGAAAAGAATAAAGACTGCATAGAAGGAAGGCTGGGAGGCGAGAGATCATAATGGCCCAGCAGTGGTCCCTGGATGGGAGGTTCTAGGTGACTGCTTTAATTTCTTGGCATTTTCTAGAGTCTTCAGGATAAGCATGTTACTAAGATTCTGAGTAGAGACTAATACATTTCCCCCTTATTTTATGACTGGTAACTCTTTTATTCGTTATTTTTTTAAGTTGTAGATGGACACAATACATTCATTCATTCATTTATGGTGCTGGGAATTAAACACAGTGCCTCCCATGTGGTGGGCAAGCACGCTATCACTGAGCAACAACCCTAGCCCATGGTGACTCTTAATTCTCTTAAGGAATTCTAAGTTGTTGTGGCTTTCCTGGGTCTTCTGCTTCCTGGCTGTGCTTCAGCTATCATTGTTGAGGGTCTCTGCCTGTCTTTTTAACACCAAGAAATGTTGCCTTCAGGTCCTTAACCAGCCCCTACTTCCTGCTCCCTTATCATGAATGAGGGCACTGGTTGGAGAGGGCTGAGCCACAGAGTTAGTTCAGAGACACGGGGATCTGGATGAGCTGGCAAGGCTGGCTGATAAGAGGCTCCATCTCAGGCAGGGATAGGGGACGGAGGTTCTGGGAGACAGGTAAGATAGAAGCCTGACAGGACACACACACACTGAACCATGTGACACCGAGAGCCAGGATCTGCCATCCAGCCCCACTGCACCCCCAGCTCCTATGACCAGGTGAAAAAGGACCAGAAGCTCTGGTCCTTGGTCCCGAAGCGGAGGGAGGTAATTTCAGGGAAAGTCTCAAGGTCAGGAAGCTGCATACACAACAGCAGAAGGGCAGGCCAGGTGCTGATTGGAGAGTTTAGCTTTGCTGCCTGCCTGCCCAGGGGAGGCTCTCCTTCATCCTGATGAGAGTCTGCACTAGGTATGCCTGCTGTTCATACAGAAGAACAACTTGGGGCTGAGAAAGACTAGTTAATCTGTCCACACCACAACTGGACTTAGAATTCAACCCACCCACGCTCTCTGACCACTACCAGAATTACAGGATGTGGTGATGGTCTTGATAGGAAGACAGGGAGAGAGAGTCACAGATAACGTTTAAGATGCTCTGGCCCGAGCAGCAGAGTAGATGGCCCTGCTTCTCGCCCTAATGAGGAAGAATGGCAGGCTTGGGAGGAGAGTCTGGGTTCATTTGGGATTGTTGATTTTAAGGTGTCTGTGAGGAAGCTAGTGGCAATGACGGGTGCTGGAAAGATAGTCCTGAGGTTCAGAAGCAAGACTGTAATCTGGAGGTAAAAATATGAGAGTCCTCAGTTGGTAGTAAGATGGCAACTTATTTGCAGGATGAAATTGTTCCAAGACAGTGTGTGGAGTAGAGAGAGCACTGTAGGTAGAGTCCGGAGAATCATCTGTATGTAAGAGGTGGGGAGCAGAGACTGAGGAGCGGCCAAGGAGTTTTGAGTGATGATGGTACAGGAACCAGGAGAAGACGTCATCTGCAGGAGGCAGTCATCAGAGGTCACGCCCTTCTAAGAGGTCAGGTAAAGCAGGAATGAGCACCCAAACGAGGACTCTCAAGGCAGTAGTGGGAGCAGAGATCAAGAAGTGACAGGCTGAATAATGAGTGGGTGAGGAAATAGGAACTGCAAGCGTACACAATTCTTTTGGCAAATTTGATAGGATGTGGGGCTGAAGAAGAGCATACCTTGTTTAAATAGAGAGAAGCACCCTGAGGAGAGGGGTGAGAGATATAGAACAGTGGTAACCAGAGAGTCAGGCTCTGAGATGAAGAGGGACTGGAGTCTGGCATAGAGCTGAGGACCCCTTCTCCTCTGCAGGAGCAGGCAGGTGGGAAGAGATGCAGACAAAGCTGCAGATTGGGCACGGAGATTCGAAATGTTCTAGTATGATTTTTGTTCTCTCCTGAGAAATAGAGGGCCAATGGTCTGCAAAGGCATAGGAGTTTGGTGGGGGAAGAAGTGGAAATTTGAGGAAAGCAATAAAGGTTTCAAATTGCTTGCTTGGCAATGACCAGGGAAGAACACACAGATTGCAAGGGAGCACGGAGGGTCTACCTGGGCACTCAGATATGAGGCTACTGTAGCAACCCTTGGCCTGCTTGCTGACTTTCTAGACTTTGGCATGAAGAAAGTCAGGTTGGTCCAAAGCTGATATTTGCCAGGAAGGTTTGAGGAAAAAAATAATAAGGCAAGGGAATAGTGTCATGATATGGCGACAGAGGGACCCGAATGGACCAGGGAATCTAAGGGGAAACAGGAAGGAAGTTAACAACAGAGGGCTAGGGCTGGGGTGCAGCTCAGTGTGGAGGACTATGCCTATCTAGCAGGTGTGGCCCTGGCTTTGATCCCTGGCAGCCTAAAAGAAAAAGAAAGAAAGGAGGGAGGAAGGGAAGGAACATGAGATTAGGGAATAATTCTACAAACTGGGCCCACTGTGGTGACCCCCATGTGCTCTCTTTCAAAAAGTAATTAATCTGCAGCCCTGGCTGGCTCAAGTTGAAAGGAGATGTTACATTCGTCAGCAAACTACCTGCTATCTGCAGAAGTACAGGCCCCAAGCATCAACAAAAAGAACACAAGTTACTCTGAAGAAGGTGGGGGTGGGGGCGGGATTTGCGACACTT